CCTTTGGGTTCTCTCCCGAAGGATCCTCCTCCTGGTCCTCTGTCTGGGGTTCCCCTTCCTTCTACCCGGTCTGTCGTGTCTTCTGTGTCTTCTTCCTCGTCCCCCTCCGATCCTCCTTCCCATCCTCTTCCTCCATCTATCGGCTCTCCCCACCGCCTGTCGGTGCGGGCGGATGTCCATCGCTCTCCTAACGGCCGTCGTGTGTGCTCTCGTTCGGCTTCTCCTGTCGAGACACTGGAATCGGTTGCCCGGTACGTAGTTGCTGGGACACCGGTCTCTTTAAGTCAGAAGCGTAAGCCTGGCTCCTCTCCTTCCTCTTCCCCGGCGGGTAAGAAGGCTTCGCTTTCTCAAAAATGTTCCCAGCTTTTGTGTTAAGTGATTGAATTATGGATATAATGTCTTTTGGGCTGACTGGCAAAAGGAGTAGAGAGTTAGGACAGCTGCCTGTGAGATTTGTAATAACATGTGTCTGGGTCTCTGGGATTTTTCTGGCAAGGTTTGTACCAATTGATGAAAAGAAGCTATTGAATTCAGTTGCAATATCTGTCTGTTGCAGGTGTGTAACCATCATTGGAGAGTTTTATCTGCTTGTTATGTGATTATTGTTTAGACTCTAGGAGGTTAGAGATGATGTTCCATGTACTTTTCATATTTCACTACACACAGAAATCACAATAGCATGATGCATCAAATGAACAAATCCACAAGGGCCGTGATGAGGCCCTTATCCATGTCGTAGCTCAGTCGATTAAGGCAGTGTCTGGGATGTTCTCAGAAGTAGGTTCGATCCTCGTCACGGCCCTTGTGGATTTTTTCATTTCCATATTTCCTTTTGCTTCTTTAAATCTATTCTCATAAAAGGAAGCTTTGGCTCTTCATATTATATTGGTGAGCATTGATGAGTATCTCTTAACTTCTTTTGTAATTAGGGCAATTCTATGTTTTGTTTCATATTCGTGTTTCTTGTTAATTGCTTTAAGTATGCCACTTGTGAATCAGGTGTTGTTTAATCTTTTGGCAGTTTATATCCATTATGAATTTATATCCTGTGTATTGTTGAGTTCAGATTCCCAGTTTATATTGTGAGGTACATTTATGAAATTCCCTATCGCTGGTTTCCTAATTATTGGGAATGCTAAATTAATTAAATTATTGTAATTTAATTAAAATTTGTATGCCTCCCAACCAGTTTGAAAGAGAGACTGTAATAACAAAATAAATACATAAATAAGTTTTATTTAGGTAAAAGTACATACAAAATTCAAAATCAAATTTTTATTCAGGAAAAGTACATACATAGATGATGAGTTACAAACATAATGTTGGATTTATACATAGAGCTAGTACATATAGTACCTAAAGCCACTAATACACATAGCATTTTGGGCAAACATTCAAGATGAGTTACAAACAGAATTGTGGATTTTTAGTTTATCTACAGGTAGTACATACTATGCCTAAAGCCACTAATACGCACAGCGTTTCGGGCAAGATGAAGGAAAAACACCTAGACTAAAACCTTAAAACTAATTGAGATCAAAAGCGTGAATTGAAAAATGAAAATCAAGAATGACAAAAATTGTATGTTGGATGGAACAGCAGAAATTGAAACAGAACAGCAGAAGTAATTTTAACTAAATAAACAGAAGGCTACAATTTTCTTCAAGTTTATATATGGCAGATATCAGCATTTAAACTAGTTGGTCAATAATCAATATTGTTAATAAAAAGCAAAACATAGGTTGACATTTAGGGGGTATAGTAGGTTACATGGAGTTTATTAGGTAGCACTTGGTTTTTCTCATAAGCTGATTGAGAGAGGTACAGCCTTTGAAATGACTGGGAAGCTCATTCCACATTCTGGATCTCTTGATTTGCAGAGAATTTCTAGTTTGGTTCAGTCGCACTCTTGGAGTATCAAATAGGTACTTATTCACCTAGTTGTTCTTGCGGAGGTTGAGCTCTGCTCTTTCGGCTCGCCTCACAACTGTCAATCAATCAACTGTAACTAACTACTAAATTATTTTTTCCCCCACACACACAAACACCCCCAGGAAGCAACTCTGTAACAGCTGTCTAACTCCAAGGTACCTAATTTACTGCTAGATAACAGGGGCATCAGGGTGAAAGAAACTTTCCCCATTTGTTTCTGCCTGGTCCGGGAATCGAACCCGGGCCACAGAATTACGAGTCCTGCGCGCTGTCTACTCGGCTACCAGACCCCTCTGGATCTTGAAACCACACAAGAAACAAGATTTGTTTTTGATGTGGTGCCCATGGGTTCTGTTACAACCTTCTGGGAAGCGTTTAAGGTCAGGATTGGCATTACAGTTCAGGGTTTTAAATATATAGAGTACACTTGAGAAGATGTGCAGTGACTTATTATCTTACATATTCAAAGATTTAAGTAAGCGGGTCGAATGCAGTCTGGGGGCCAGGGTTTGTTATTATTCCAATAGATTTGTGTTGAGTAATTAGCAGACGTAGATGATTTTGGGTAGTAGAACCCCCAAGCAGATACCATAATTGAGATAAGGATAGATAAGAGAGTAATAGAGCGTCATCAGGTCAAGGTGAGGTACATAGTATCTGATTTTAGAGAGAATGCCAACTGTTTTAGAAACTTTTTTTGCTATATTTTAAATGTGTCCCTGAAAATTCAGCTTGTTATCAATCAGAACACCAAGGATCGAATTTAATTACCATCTACTGTGTTACTAATTTGGATATTGTTAATTCTTAGATTAATTTGATCTGAGGATTTATTACCAAACAAAATATAGAAGGTCAACGTTAAAGATGAGTTTGTTAGCAGTTAGCCAAAGATTTTATTTAGTTCAATATTCACTGAATCATTCAAAATAAGAGGGTTAGGACTGGAGAAAATGAAGAGTGTGTCATTATCAAATAAAATTGGTTTGAGATGTTGAGAGGTATTTGGAACATCATTAATGTAGATGAGAAAAAATGTGTGTATGTATATGAAAGATAATGTAGACTAAGAAATATTTACTTAATATTATATAATTAATATCATATAATCAATACCATGTAACTAATTTCACTCACATTTTTCCTAATAATAGATTTATGTTACTCTAATCATAATATACTCTAATATAGTTAATCTAATAGTTACTCTAATATATTTTTATTTATTACAATTTATGTCCTTTCTTCATCATGTGTCATCTAATTCTTGCATTTCTTTGATAAAGTGTTTATTCATGTCCTTTGTTTATTCTTGTCTCCTTGAATAAAGGAAATCTCCTTTCCCTTATGATCCTTGTTTATTTTTAGTGTTGCCCTCATTAACCATAACTTATACTATATTTCTGTTAAGTTCCAAGAAAATGTTAAGAGAAAAAGTCCAGTTTCTTTTCTAAATTACACCTTAGTATTTCCATTGTGTTATTAATGCAAATAAAGTACTGTACTGTTGCTAGAACTACCGACTCATTAATGTAATAGTCTATACCAGTCATTATTAAGTATCACCTTTTTATTATATTCATTTGTGTTTTCTTAAAATTATTCATTTTTGTTAGATTACTTCCCTTTTAGTATTAAGTGCTTACCCCGTCACACCTTTAATTAAATTTTCTTCTAAATTATTGCAAGTTTTGTGGGAAACGCTTTACGTAATAATGGCTTCATGAGTTTTTGTAACTCCTATCCCCACAATTGTATATTACTCATATGTTCTTGTACACACATTATTTTGAATAAAAATTTAGATATTTAATTTTTTTTATTTATTGATGTTCTGAAAACGATGTTACACCCCCTTCTTCCTACTCACGGCATTCTTGAAAACAAAATTTCCCCGGCTTCTGTTCCTCCTGCTATTTCTACTGCTACTTATCATGCTGATCCAGCTACTGCTGTTCCTCCTGCTATTTCTACTGTTACTTATCATGCTGATCCAGCTACTGCTGTTCCTCCTGCTATTTCTACTGTTACTTATCATGCTGATCCAGCTACTGCTGTTCCTCCTGCTATTTCTCATGCTGATCCAGCTACTGCTGTTCCTCCTGCTATTTCTACTGCTACTTCTCATGCTGATCCTGTTACTGCTGTTCCTCCTGCAATTTAAGAACATAAGAACAAAGGTAGCTGCAGAAGGCCTATTGGCCCATACGTGGCAGCTCCTATTTATAACCACCCAATCCCACTCATACATGTCCAACCCACGCTTGAAACAATCGAGGGACCCCACCTCCACTACGTTTCGTGGTAATTGGTTCCACAAATCAACAACCCTGTTACCAACTGCTACTTCTCATGCTGATCCGGCTACTGTTGTTTCTACTATTACACCCTCTGCTGCTGTTTGCTGCACTACACTGAACCTCAATTTCTCATAATTACCTTAGCTTGCTGCACTACACTGGACCTCAATTCAACATTGTTACCTTAGCTTGCAGCACTACACTGGAGCTTAATAAAGTTTAGTTCTTGGACAATTTATCATTCGAGTTTTGGCAAAAACAAAACAAAAATGATCGAACTTAAAATTTACTTTGTCAAAATTACACTTGTATATAATTATAAAAATAATATAATAATGTAAAATTCTAAAAAGGAAAGAGTAGGGTGTGAACTTGCACACTTGGTACTGCCAAGCTAGACCACCACACCATGAGGAGGGTGTGAACCTGCACACTTGGTACTGCCAAGCTAGACCACCACACCATGAGGAGGGTGTGAACCTGCACACTTGGTACTGCCAAGCTAGACCACCACACCATGAGGAGGATGTGAACCTGCACACTTGGTACTGCCAAGCTAGACCACCACACCATGAGGAGGGTGTGAACCTGCACACTTGGTACTGCCAAGCTAGACCACCACACCATGAGGAGGGTGTGAACCTGCACACTTGGTACTGCCAAGTTAGACCACCACACCATGAGGTGATTGATTGATAAAGATTAAGCCACTCAAAAGGGGGCACGGGCATGAATAGCCCGAAAGTGAAGGCTCTTTGGAGCCATTACCGGTACCAATAGCTGGTACTTGGGATCTGTGGATGGATGGGATCGGCATTGTCGCTCACAATTTATGGCCCCCAGGAAGCTTAGTTGCCAGGTTGCAGTTTAATGTGCAACGCGACGCTTTATATCTGAACAGAATAACCTCGGTAGTTTGGTACCATCAGGATCGTCGTCCTTTTCGAGGAATTGCATTTGTCCGTCAGGGAATTTGCGGTGAAAATCTGGGTCGTGGTATTCTTTCTTTCAGTATTGTGAGATCAGTGTAAGAGTTCATGATGTGGGCGTGGACATACTTGGGGTGCGGGTATTTGTTCTGGCCGATTATTTTGTTACATCTGTGGGCCAATTTTCGTCTGGTGTGTGCGTTGCCATTGAACTCGCAGGGCGGAATGAACAGCACATGGCAAGTATTTTTGTTTTCGTCGTCGGTCGCAATTCCGTTCTCGTCGACGTTGATGGCGGCTCTGGAGAGCTCTGGAGAGCGCTGGAGAGCCTCTTGGTGTTGGTTGTGGGAGTTTCGGGTGGTCCGTCGTCGTCTTTGGAAGTGGTGTCTTCATTGGCAGGGGTAGCCAGTGTGGGTGGCGTCCCTGTTACCGGACTGGTTGTGGGTCCTGTTGCAGGGTCGGACGCCAGGCCGGCCCTAGGTAGAGGAGCTGGGTGAAGGTCGCTTGGTACTGTAGCGAGTAAACCTATACTCGCTCCATTATCTCATCATCTTAATTGCATAACTAATTACACAAGCTATAATCCTATCCCTATTTACAGGTAACGGTTTTTCCACCCTCCAATCTTACTGTGAGGTGTAGTAACCGTATATAAGCCAGCGATTTGAGAATAGTAAACCAGTACAATCTCCAGTCAAGAATGTAGTGGAGCACACAAGAACACGAAAGCACGAAAGAACACAAGAGAAGTGTTAAGTCTGCAGACACTAACAATGCTCTCTTCTGCCATGTGAGGGATTCTAATCATCCCATTGATTGGTCTTCCTTCAAAATAATCTTTCCTGCCTCTACTCTACACAGACGCCGTCTTGTTGAATCGGCTCTAATACACAATGTACCCAACATGAACTTGAGTCCTGGCTTTGTTGCTGTGGACTCTTCCCTTTCACAGTATATACACAAATGCTCTAATCTTTCTAACAAACGTGACCGTACATAAGCTTACCCTTTCCATTTACCTTTCTTTCTCTTTCCTTTCTTTCTCTTTTCTCTCTTTTTTTCTGTATTATGCGCACTAAATTGCAACACTTGAAATGCATAGCAGCAACCAAAGGCATAGACATCCTAATACTACAGGAGAGCTTGCTTCGAGCCGGATTAGAACCTAAAATCTCAGGCTATCGAGGCTTCTTCCTTCCATGGATCAATGGGCAATCCAGGGGATGTGCAATCTATGTAAAAAGTGACCTGATCTCCAAATCCATAACCAGCCCACCCAATTGTGGAGCAGGGACAGAGGTAATGGGAGTCACCATTGAGCTAAGACACGACAAACTTGAAGTGTTCAATGTGTACAGGTCTCCACAAGCCGAAATGGATCTCTCTCTGTGTTATTTGGACACGCGACAACAACAAACACAATCATTTGTGGAGATTTTAATGCCCATCATCGATTGGCATTGGGCTCGAACAAAACAAATGAAGCCGGCACACACATTACACATCTACTGGACCAGCTTCCAGAAATACAAATCCTAAACAAGAATGAACCTACCCACATCCAAGGAGGCAGATTAGACCTAACCTTCGTTTCAGCCTCCCTAAGAGATGCAGCAACATGGTCAGTTGAGCCCACACTCACAAGCGACCACTATGGGGTCCAAATTGATCTTCAGTTAGACCTACCCACCTGTTACGGCCCTCTCGGGACGCAACGGGGTTCTCACTCTGATGTTGGTAGAGTCAGGTGTATGTATCCGTTCCCAAGCCAGTAGTGGCTATCAAGGGATGAGATCCGTGACGCAAGTAACTTAAAGGGAGTAGGGAAAGAAAGCCAAGAACTTAATATTATAATTTTCACCATCACCGAGTAAATATATAAAATAAAAGAGTGCACAAGGGGGAGGGGTATTAACACTTTACAAGGGGATTAATCCACAATCGATGTCTTCTGCTGAAGACGCTGGTGCCATAACTCTCGGTGCCGAGTCCTTGGTGCTTTCTTCGTGGCCTCACAACGAAGTCTCCAAAGAAGTTGAGCCTACCCTGGCCACAGGTCAGCCAAAACACAGGTCCACTGGGGGCACCGCCGTGGAGGCCGTCAACCACACGTCCAGCTGGTCTGCTGGCAGGTTCTGAGCCAACAAGGCTGGTACGGCCACTCCACGGACAATAAAAGGGGAACGCCCTAGACAGGAGCCTCGTGTGATATCACAAAATCACCCTCCTGTCCTCAATACCCCAGTGGATGATCGTCTCCAACAGTCGGTCCCGGGTAAATCCTTTTACTGCCACTCCACTGGCAGGCTAACCCACCACAGTGTTCTTCCGGGGGGACGACGTCACAACAGCTGCAGCAAACTTCACAGTATGGAGACTGGCTGCCTCGGGTAGACTGACTCCACCTTCAACACAGTGGTCCCAGGTCGGCTCTGTAAGCAGACACGTCATCAATAACAGGGACACTAAAACACCACACTTACCGGCTCAGACACAAACACCTGACGTATCCAGTCCATAGATGGCGCTGTCGTCGGAGCACCACCTCACCAGAGGTCAGGAGCGGCAGTGTAGAGTGCTCAACGGGCCTGGAAACTGGCTCTCGTAGCTGGTACACGGCATCCTCACCAGGTGTCGTCGTCCTTTTGGAGGGGGTTTCGGGAGCTGACCCACAGATGGCGCGGTCGTCACGGCTCCAAGCTCTGACACTGGATCCGGGTTCGTAACACCTCCCCACCAAAAAGAATTTGGTTTGGGGTTCTATAAAAGGAAACACAAACCAAATTAGTACGGCGACACTGTTCCAAATGGACACACATGCTTTATAATCTGGAATGGCGAGGCTGTCTCGTCCACAGAACTGTACTACTGGACAATTCCGGCACAACGGGAACTCGAAGATTGAAGGCGATGTCCTGCCTGGCGTAACCTTCCACATCTCCTCTGCGATGGCAAGCAGGGGCATCATCTCACATCTCTCAAGGAAGGATCGGTGTGGACACGATGAGGGGCGACTCGACACTTCCCTATGTCGTGGCACCGATGATGGCTGGACACAGACGGCATTTCTGGTGCCGGTCCGGTAGTCCTTCAGGGAGACAGGAACCTGGAATACAGGGGTCTGATAATTCAGAGTGATAGCGACAGTGGATAAGTCAATACTTACTGCATACGCCTCTACTAGGCTTACACCTAGTTTCCACAGGGCTGCTTGCACGTTGCAGATGGCATTCGCTCTGCCACCGTCAGGTCGACCAACGTTCCGTATAACGCTGCGTTGAGGCTCAGCTATCACGCGGGGGGTGTCAACCTGTCTGAAACAGTCACTCATATTATCATTTCTCGTACCTCCTGTATCTACCATTACCTTCCAGGTCCCTTCTTCAACTGCAACACTTGCAATACAAATCTCCAATCCCTGGGACTTCTTCGCGATGTTCAAGGGAACCATCATCCTTCGGGTCGTCCACTGATCCTTACTGAGAACACTGGGAACACATACGAGCATCAAACAAAATATCGCTAAGAAACATGGGGCCAATTGAGGGATAAGCTTCCCGAGCCTTCCATGTCCATAACCGGCTATATCCATTAGCCTGGTTTGGCCCAAAGAGGGCACTAGAACCTTTGCACATACCTCACATACCTCCGACGTCTGGGGAATCTCTGGCCGGTTCAGCATACATTGTACTTTGCCAGGCTGCAAGTACACAGGTGCCTTCACTCCAGACTCTTCGGTATCCGTGGGTGCTTGCACACAAGGCCTCTCTTCTTGCTCGGGTACTTCTGCCATCGTAACCTCATGTTCCTTGTCGAGAGAATTAGGAGACACTATTAGAATACTGTCGATCTGCGGATGAGAGGACAAATTAGACATGTTCAAATCCGGGTCTGTCTCTACCTGGACATTACCATGGCCCGTCGTTACCTCAGACCTTGCTGTTCTGGCTGACTCGTCCGCTATCTTGGGATGATTGGTGCTCCAATCGGTCACCAAGTCGTTGGCTAGTACCACGTCAATCCCAGCCACAGGGAGGGTATCGACTACTGCCAACTCACATGTGCCGCTGAA